CCAGACGCAGTGTTCGACCCTAGGAAGTGCAGGCAGACAGGAGCATAAAAGAGACAAGCACTACAGATTGCAAGTCAAGATTCTCAAGAGGCCCTGTCACCTTTCCCATCCAGGACAAAGTAACAGGGTCTACTTAAAGCCCCCCTCCTTTTCCAACGCATTTATACTAGCCTTCACAGCTCTCCCCTGCCAGCCCTTCTTATATCTTATCAATAGGCTAGGTGACAGGGTCTCTTTCAAGGAAAACAACAGCTTTCCTGTTTTGCAGGTTTGCTGTACCATATTTCCCTTCTTGTATTACATATACAGGTTGGTAGATTCTATGTCTATATGTCAATGCCATCATTTAAGATTAGATATCAGACAATGAGCTATAAGAAGTGCTTTACTTTCAGTTATTACCCAGATGGTAGACTTCCTCTAAAGGGGAAGAAGGGAAAAGGCACAACCATCACAGTTATACAATACCACAAAGCAGGAAGATTGCGAATGCAAAAGCGGCCCCCTGGGGTTAGATTTATCGTTCGGCAAAATAGACTTCTGCCTAGAGGAGTCAGATGTAACTTTTTTTGTATAGTTATCTGACTATCTTCCTATAATCAGTTAAAACATGGTCATCCCATACAGGCTTATTTACACAGCTTGTATGCTTGTATGTGCATGTGTAAAATCAGAAACCCCTTTTCACATCAGCAACCCATCGATCATATCAAGAGTCACCCCTGTCACATCTCATCATTTCTCTCATCAGGAGCCTCCTTCATATTAGAGTTCCCCCTTCAAATCAGAGACTTGAGTCTCCCTTCACATCAAAGTTCTCAGTCTCCCCTTCACATCAGTGTCCTCAGTCCCCCCTTCACATCAATGTTCTCGGTGCCACCTTCACATCAATGTTCTCAGTCCCCCCTTCACATCAATGTTCTCAGTGCCACCTTCACCTCAATGTTCTCGGTGCCACCTTCACATCAATGTTCTCAGTGCCACCTTCACATCAGAGTCTTGAGTAGCCCCCTCACATCAATTTTCTCAGTGCCAACTTCACATCAGAGTCTTGAGTAGCCCCCTCACATCAGAGTCCTTAGTGCCACCTTCACATAATTTTTTTCCAGTGCCACCTTCACATCAGAGTCCTCAGTCCCTCTTCATATCAAAGTTCTCAGTTCCCCCTTCATTCCCTGAGTCCTCAGTCACACCCTCACATCAGAGTCCTCAGTCCCACCCTCACATCAGAGTCCTCAGTCCCACCTTCACATCAGAGTCCTCAGTCACACCCTCACATCAGAGTCCTCAGTCCCACCCTCACATCAGAGTCCTCAGTCCCACCTTCACATCAGAGTCCTCAGTCCCACCCTCACATCAGAGTCTTCAGTCCCACCTTCACATCAGAGTCATCAGTCCTACCCTCACATCAGAGTCCTCAGTCCCACCTTTATATCAGAGTCTTGATTTATCCCCTCACATCAGAGTCCTTAGCGCCACCTTTACATCAATGTTTTCAGTGGCACCATGACATTAGAATCCTCATTGCTACCTTCACATCAATGTTTTCAGTCCCCCCTTCACATCAATATTTTCAGTCCCCCCTTCACATCAGAGTCTTGAAACCCTCCTTCAAATTCACATCACAGTTGTCATTGCCACCTTCACATCAAAGTCCTACCATCACATTGGGAGCTGCAGCAGCATTGCAGAGGGTGAGAGGCAACGAAAGCCAGGATGGAGGTGAAAGCCATTGTTTTCTGAGTGGATCCCACCCTCCCCGTATTACATTATTAATTTATATGGTACTGGTGGCTGGCCTGCCTGCACCAAGGAAAGGCATGTTTCTGTGTGAGTATTTCAAGGCACCCGTGAGGAAGCCAGGAGGCACCAGGGTGCCACGACATCCTGCTTGAGACTGCTAAAGAGTGTCACTTGAGTGTCAACTCTGTCTGCTGACATCACATCCAAAATATGTTAAATGCGCATATAATCTTATGGGAACATTTCTGAAATGAATTGAATGGTCTGCTGACATAGTCTCTCCAATTTTCTGCTTTTTCCTTAGGATAACCCAAGAGCAATGTTGTATTAATCAGCTGGAGGAACTGCACTGTGCCACTGGCATCACCATCGCCAATGAGAAGGACTCCTGTGACATCAATGAGAAGGAAAATGTTACCTGTGAATCCAGGTTTGTGAAGGTGAGATGTCAAAAGGGTTTCCATTCTGCACAGCCTAACCAGTCCAGGTTTAAAGGATAACTACACACTTGTGTAATCGTCCTTTAACACAGGCTATGACTCTTCAACCAACTCAGGGCTCTGTAATACACCCGCCCGTTACCGCTATCCCACAATCCAGTGCTCTTATTGGCTGATGATTTAGAATTGCTGTGTCCCTCTAACTATAATCTGTCACTCAATCTGCTTATAGTTGTACCAAACACGCAGCTATTTCTTCTAAATTCATTGCTACATCATAGTGCCCCCTAGTGGACATACCAAAGAGGATCAGCGCAGAGCTCATACTGACCACTAGGAAGAATATTGGATGCAGTATAAAAAATTTTCATGTTTGCACATAAATGTGATCACTAGGTGGTGCGGATGCACTGCTGTTGAAGGATATGGGTACACTCTTTAATGCTAAGTTTACTTTTGCACCCATATTCAGGATTTAACATGAAACATGGTCATACTAGAAATAAATGGTAACCGCATAAATTTATAACCAGCCTTGGTAGCACGGTGCACATGGGAAGGCTTACAACAATACAAAACACAAAAAGAATCCCCAGCACACCTGCCAACATGGAGACTCATAAATAGAGTAGGACCACACTTCACAGAGGAGCCTTGACGGGGCAGTGTGGCTTCTACATATTTTTGGCCAAAGGTTTGTGCAGGCTAGCTGGCAGATGTCCTGGAGACATGACCATATTGCATTGTACTCTTGAGACGATCACCTGGCGCTCTTTCTTTAGTCTTCATTAACGTGGATTTCTAATTCTGGGTATCCCCCTATTTTGTAAAGAGCTGCCAGAACCGAGCCATCAAGCCAAATTGTTGCTCCTATTCAACTAGAGAAAGTTCCTGGCCTAGTGCCTCATCCCAACTCACCCTTGGGAGCTATTGTCTTTAGACAGCCGCAGCATCTGAACAGTGACCTCATAGGATAGGATGCAGTCACTATTAAACTGACAATTTCCTATCCGGGTCCTTCAATTTTTCAACCTTTTATTCATTGGATTTCAGTTCTTTTAATCATGAAAGTTGAACATCACATGTGGATGTTACCCAGGACAGTCTGCGGGCAAATGCAGTCTACCTTGGAATGCCTACTCCTCCAGACTGACACCCACTTTTTCTTTCGAAGCCCGTGGACGTGCATCTAAATAAACTTCCCCCTGTGAACAAAAAAAGTGAACCGTGAAATCACAGCACACAAAAACGTGCACAAGGGTGCAAGGTCCTTCCAAAGAAGGGACCTACTTCCCGACCCCCCGGGGCGCAAGGCTCCTGACAGGGGTTGAGATACTTTGGACCACCAACCCGAAGGCCGATGGTCCATTTCCTTTGGGGACCTGCCGAGACAGGTCCCCCATAGTACTTGGCAAGTGGGCTCTCCTGAAGAGAGACCCACCTCCTGGGCGGGAGGAGACAGAACCCCGTAGAGGGCACAGAATCTCCTCCCAGCGTCAGGAATAGGCCCCGAAGAAACCTGCACCTTTCGCATCTGTGGGTCAAATTTAAAAATAAAAAAGTGCCAAACGTGCATAGAGTGCATAAATAAATCTAAAGTGCCAGTGCACCACGCTGACAGGCCTTAGGGGCCGGAGTGCAAAAATATTGCCCCGGACTAGCCATAAGGCCTGTCCAAGAGGCGTTGTGCAGAAAAAGCAATATGGTGTGTGACCGAGTGCTACAGTGAGTCATGTGGGGTCCCATACCCAAGTGACTTTCTGAGCACCCCTGGGACGCCACCCCCAGGGGGCACAACACCACGGGCTTCTGCCGCCCCCGAACCCTTGAGCCAGACCAAGCTTCGCATCTGTTCAGTCAGAAAGCCATGTACTGAGCGGTTCCCCTCTCACAGGAAGCCGCCCCACACGCTCTTTCACTACAGCGAGTACTAAGTAACCATCCCCCGCAAGGACGGTTCTTTTCCCCACCGAAAACTGATAAGAACAGATACTACACTTGATCTTAGCCAAAAGGCCGAGAAGCGATCCACGCATCGGGGAATTTTGATATATTCATAACTCCACCCACTGGGCCACTTACTTCAGGACTGAGGGCTTTTCAGACGAGTACTGAGGCAGGATGCTGTGACATTTTTAGGAAGCTATGTACAGCACCCTGCCGGCCCCTCCCACCAGCCATCATCTGCCTGCATTGCATAGAGAAGCACAAAGACCCAGAGGTGACATCACTGGATCTATGATAAGGTATGTAATAAAAAACAGAAAGGTTTTGAACTGGAATTTTGTTGATGAGGTAAAAGGGAGGAACCAAGGAAGACAAAATACACACAGATTAAACTTCAGCTATAATGACTTCTGAAGGAATGCGTAAGATAACTCAAACGTCTTTCCTGCTGGTGGTTACTAACCCTTTATATTATACATAAGCTATAAAAGTTTAGCTATTAATAAATCAGACCTAACTTATTCCTGACTTGTGCTTCCTCAGAGATGCTGCAACTGCTGCTTGCTGGGCAGGACGGCCCAAGCGCAGGGCCAGAGCTGTGAGCAGAGCTTGTTCCTGGGTTACCAGTGCAGCCTTGTCTTCCGGGCCTGTTGTGTCAAAGGTCAAGATGGAGCCGATGCGCCCAACCACGATGAAGGTAAAATGGTCTTATTGCAAAACAATCAGAAATGAGCATTTAAATTCCACCTGGTTAGATTTACCCTCTCTGTTTGTTCAGGTGGCCATGGTCGCCTAGACAAAAGTGATGGGAAATCCAAAATTTTACCAGAAGAAGAGCTGAGGTGAAATCTTCCAATGGGGACACCGGCTCGGGTGACAACTGTCAAAGAGGGGAATCCTCACGTCATAAAAAATTTTCTTTCTCATATCCTGTTGCATTTCTGAGGCAGGAAGTGAATGTTAGAAATACAACAGCATATATTATGTCTTTTGAGCTGTAGATGGCGCTGTAGTTCAATGCTAGTCTATGCTAGTCTCTATGTTCATTCTCATCTATGATATATAGAGAAAGTTCTCTCTGTATGCTGTATTCTGATTTAATATTCGCCTAAGCAAGTACAACTTAATTCAGCATTCCTCAAGATCTCAGTGCTTCATCTAAACACATAACCAACATTGAAGGGAATATTTCCAATGGGACACAACTTTCTTTCTTCAACCTTAAAGGAGAACTATGAGGTGTGTGCTTTTCACTCACCTCATAGTTCTAGCCAACCTGTGACAGTCTCATGAGACTGTCACAGGTCGGCTCAGTAGATCGGGAAGTGAGCGAACACATACCGGCGTTCGCTCACCTCTCGATCTTGTCACAGCCCTCTGCCGTGACAGGGGAGGGGCTGGATTCCCCCCTCCCCGCTCCGATCCTACAGCGCTGACTGGCAGAACGGACGGGGCAGGGGGCGGGTACAGCTGGCTCTGCCTCTAGATAGGCAGAGCCAGCTGTCACTCACGCAGCTGGGGGATCCAGACATAATTGTCGGGATCCGTCTCAGCTGCGGCGTCTCAGTATACCGCGATCTGCAGCTCACGGTATACTGAGCTTAGGGTGACGGGAGGACGCTAGGTTGTGTCCTCCCGTTACCCTAAGACAGGGGTCAGCAACCTGCGGCTCCAGAGCCGCATGTGGCTCTTTCCTCCCTCTGCTGCGGCTCCCTGTCCAAGGGCGGAACTACCGCCGGGGGCCTTAGGCTGTGGGGGGGCCCAGTGAGGTCCGGTCAAGGGCACCCCCCCTGGTGGAATATGCGGCAGTGCATGGTCCCGGGGCCCCGCACTGCCAACGAGCTTATCAGCAAGGGGGCGGGTCCTGTGACTCACCTCCTCTCCCGGCCGCGTCCCTAGTAATAGGTGGCAGGAGAGAAGTGTGTGTCACATGCCCCACCCCCTGCAGTGCACACCATCTGGCTGGGGTGCTGGCTGGGAGGCTTGGCAGGTGAGTCCAAATGAGGAGCGGGGTGGGGGGTGTAAGTGTGCTGTTATTTAATTTAATTAGAAAAGTGGACTATAATGGGCAACATTACACTGTAATGTTGCTTATTATAAGGTTGCCTATTATAATCTATTTCTCTGATTAAATGATTAGACAGGGCCGCTGTTCTATCAAAGTTTGTGACTAGGTTGGAATATGGGATCAGTGATGTGGTCACACATTTGAATGTAATCCCGCCCAGTTTTTTGGCGGTGGAATGTGTGACCACCAATAGGTCAAGCATTCCAACGCTTTCTCAACTGTTCCAGGGCAGATCGGCATCGCAAATTGTTTGTGCAGGAGAACTGATCTGCCCTGAAACAGCTGTTTGGTCCTGAAATGTCACTTCTATACGATATTATGAGTGGGGTGGAATGTGAGATTGTACTCACAGAGTCGGATAGAAGTGACAGTTCAGGACCGAACAGCTGTTCCAGGGCAAATCAGTTCTCCCGCACATACGATTTGCGATGCCGATCTGCCCTGACAAAGCGTTGGAATGCTTGACCTATTGGCGGTTACACATTCTACCGCCAAAAAACTGGGCGGGATTACATTGAAATGTGTGACCACGTCACTGGTCACACATTGTAACGTAGTCACAAACTTCGATAAAACACCGCCATCAGGGGGGTACGGCCGGTACCCATGTGAGGGGTCTGGGCAGCCTGGGGGGCCTCATACATGACTATTAGCTGTAGCAGGGGCAGCATGGCAGAGGTGACAGGAGAGGGGGTGGAGGCGGCCCGGGCCCCAGCAGCAGCAGGTAAGAGGAGTTGGGAGGAGGTACAGGGAAAGGGACCCCGGCGACCAGCCCACCTGAGGCCCTGCAGAGCCCACCATAGAGAGTCTCAGATGGGCTGTGCAGGATCTATGGGTTGCTCTGTAGGGTCACTCTCAGGGGGGCTCTGCGGGGTCTCAGGTAAGCCCAGAGTCCAGTGCGTTACTAAGCCCACATATACCTATATACATGCTATACATAGCATAAAGGTAAAAAAACGATATACCGTGTTATCTTCATTTTAGATGTCAAAAGGGTTTTGTGGCTCCCTGTGTTTTCTTTTCTGTGGGAAACGGGTCCAAATGGCTCTTTGAGTGTTTAAGGTTGCTGACCCCTGCCCTAAGGAGAACTATGGGGAAAAGCCCTAACCCCATAGTTCTCCTTTAATCACTCTATCCAAAACTAAATAAAAAGTTTTAGCTATATATACACACATATATTTGCCACAATACACTTGCGGACAATGCCATCAAAGTCCCTGAAAGTTCCTATGCATCATGAATTTTCGAAAAGCCTTTTAGGGCTTGTTCACACAGAAAGCCCTACTTTCTGCGTTTGCAGTGGAACGGAACGCTGGAGAAGTTTTGCCACGCATCCGCTATCTCTGCGCCGGGAGTGTCGGATGAACGGATATCCTATATCCTATATTTTTGAAATGTTGTTTTGAACTGGTTGAAAAAATGACCATTTTTATACACACGCAGAGGGGAATTTATCACAACTGGAGTACACAGAATCTGGAGCAGCTTCTATGTTTCATTTTCAAAGTTTGACTGAACAAACTGAAAAGAGAAGCTGATTGGCTACTATGGGCAGCCTCTCCATATTCTGTCTGCTCCAGTTTTGATAAATTCCCTCTGCACAGTATATATTACTGAAACCAGGCAGATCTTGAGTCATGTTGTTTTATTTCCCCAGCTAACAACCCAACGAACTCCCATGCTAATGCTGACGACATCTTGATGGGCGATCGATGCAGAGGTAAGTGCGGTGCTGATATTTCAGAGTTGATCGCTCTATCGTTAACTGTCGATCTTTAGTTGAAAAGTCTTTTAGGAGTAAAAATTCTCTATGTGATACAAAGTTCTATGTTGCAGGGGGCGGACCTTGCAATCATCAGTGCAGAGACACCGGCAGCAGTGTGGTCTGTTCATGTTACGCTGGCTACAAACTCCAGCCAGATGGTTTTACATGTGAAGGTAACACATTTGCCTACTTGGTTTATATGTAATACATCTCAACTGTACAGCCCAAAAAAAAAGAAACAGATCCAACAGTTTAGCTTTCCAAAAAAAAAGGTCAAAAATCCTTACCTTTCCCTTCCTTTGCCTTCCTCTCCATTCCCTTTCCCTGGCTTCCATGTTTCTTTGCTCCCCTTTTATTTTCACTTCCTTTTTTCTTTTCTTTCCTTTTCTATTCTTTGTTTTCTTTTTCTATCCTTTCCATTTCCTTTCCATCCCATTGCTTTTTCTTTTTCCTTTCCCTTCCCTTATTTTTCTAACCTTTTCCTTTTTTTCTCTGTTCTAATCTTTTACCTTTGCTTTTCTTACCTTTCCCTTCCTTTAATTTCCTTTCTCTTCCTCTCCATATCCTTTTCCCTGGCTCCCATGTTCCTTTCCTCCCCTTTTATTCTCCTTTCCTTTCCATTCCCTTTATTTCAATTTCCTTTTTCTTTCTGTTTCCATCCCTTTGTTTTCTATTCCCTTTCTTTCCCCTTCCATTCCCTTTCCCTTGTCTAACCCTTCCCATCCCTTTTCTTTTCTTTTCTATTCTTTTTCTTCCTTTACCCCTTCCATTTTCTAACCGTTCCCAGCCATTCATTTTCTTTTCTATTCTTTTTCTTCCTTTACCCTTTCCCTTTTCTAACCCTTCCCAGTCCTTCATTTTCTTTTCTTTTCTATTCTCTTTCTTCCTTTACCCTTTCCCTTTTCTAACCCTTCCCAGCCCTTCATTTTCTTTTCTATTCCTTTTCTTCCTTTACCCTTTCCCTTTTCTAACCCTTCCCAGTCCTTAATTTTCTTTTCTATTCTTTTTCTTTCTTTACCCTTCCATTTTCTTTCGCTTTCTTTTCTATTCTTTCCAATCCTTTTCTGTCCTTTCCATTTCTTTTCCATCTCATTCCCTTTCATTTCCTTCCCTTACGTTTCTCTCCTTTCTTTTCCTTTTCCCCCTTTCTTTTCCTATCATTTCCCTTTCCTTTTCTTACCCTTTTATTTTCCATTCAATTTCCTTCCCTCTCCTTTACCTTTCTGTCAGGAAGTATAAAGTAGTTCACTATTTGAGCCGTAAACTTCTTCTGCAAACAATATAAAAATATTGGCAACTCTGGATAACTGTCAATCTTGTTGTATTATTTTGTCTTTAGATATCAATGAATGTATTTCCCAAACCCACAACTGTAAGGTTGGGCAGATCTGTATTAATCAGGTGGGATCTTTCCGCTGCCAGAGAGAGATCAATTGTGGCACAGGCTACGAACTTACTGAGGACAACAGCTGTAAAGGTACGGGGAGCTTATGGACTTTTCCTAGAGTGGAGCAGAAAGGTTCTCTTTAATAATAACAACATCCTTTATTTTTACCTGTAAATCCTACTAGTAACACACTTCCTGTCCAAGGATGACAAAGCTCACTTACTGTACTGTATCTATAAAGAAGAATTGTTGTCACCCTAGGATAAAACTACAAAACACCCACCGCCTCTGCTCCGTAATACAGAGGGAGGTGCTCTGTAATTCTCAGAGATCACTATAAATAGTGTATCTGATAAGACTGCAGTACAGGCAGAGAGCACAGGAACATATCAGCTGACAAGATTTCTGGCAGGATCAACATGTAATTTTTGCACTTGTTTAACAGGTATAACAAAACACAGTAAATTATAACAGATATAACAGGTATAACAGACTGAAAGGGAGCAAATAAGAGATGTTCATTGTTAGGGTGCCCATGCACTTTAAGGAGGGGCCTTATCTCTTATTGCCAAAGGGCTGCCTATATATGGCCAATTTTGCACTGGGATGCTTCTTTATTATCACAGTTGCCTATATGGTGCTAATTTTGTACTAGCATGCCTGTGTGTTGCCAGATGGGCACTGGTTTGCCCATGCAGTGCTGCTGTCTTTGAGAGTTTGTGACCAGAGTTTTGCTCTGTGGACTAGAGGTGAAACAGGACCAATGGTATATAAAAATATAGGTATATACCAGGGGTGTGCCCAGCATTTTTTACGCCTGAGGCAGCGGAGTGGGTGGGTGTAATAGTAGGCAGGCCTTTCACATCACCTCTCTAGCCAGGGTCCTGCCGAGTGACATTAATGGTTGTCAGGAGTCCAGCAGGATGCCAGGCCAGAGCATTCTGCTCAGCTCCTGGCAACCACTGATGTCATTGGTTGCCAGGAGCTGGGCAGGACACCAGCCAGAGCGTCCCAGATTGTTAAGTGCTGGGCGGGGAGATGTGTTTGGCATTTACACATCTCCCTGTCTGGCTCTTAGCAATCTGAGATGCTCTGGACGTAAAGGGGCGGCAGGCACACTGCAAACTTTGTGCAGCAGAGCAACCATGTCGCACTGCCTGCTGCCACCCCATGTGTCCCAAAATGATGCCACCTGACTCAATAGCTTCTTTATAGGGACAGCCCTGTATATACCAGAAATTGTGACTGAGTTAAGTGCAATATGGCCATCCTGACATTGTACCTAAAAAGTTGTATTCTAATTTTCAGATATTGATGAATGCTCAACAGGAACTCACAACTGTCTCCCCACCTTCAACTGCCAAAACACACCTGGCTCCTTCCGCTGCCGACCCAAGCTCCAGTGCAGTGCCGGCTTCATACAGGATGCACTTGGCAACTGCATTGGTAAGACAAGACACATGACACGTGTACCGGACACGTTATCTAACAGATGACACGAGATGGGTCACCTGTTTAAATGGGAGCCGCTGACAGTAAAGAGCTATGCCAGTTTCTGCTCTTAAACTGCAGAATGATGTTTTCATCCTCCAAATAGCACTGTGGCTACATGGAGATAATTACTTTTGGGTGAACCTATGCACAATAAAATTATTTTCTTTGTACCGATACAGATATCAATGAATGTTTGAGCCTGAATGCGCCATGTTCTCCAGGCCAGACCTGTATTAATACTGAGGGCTCCTACACATGTCAACGCCATGTGGTCAACTGCGGGCGGGGATACCACTTGAGTGCTGATGGGACAAAGTGTGAAGGTAAGTGCACTTCTACAATAATGTATTGGCTTTTTTTTGTGATGTTAGAGCATCTACATTGCTTTACTTATAATGACTGTTTGTAAGCTGCTTATATCAGGCTCCTGGAAAACATACTTAGAACTAAGAGAAGGAGCAGAGTAATGCATATCATAAGGCACTTGTGTCTAATGCAACAGGTTAAAAGAGGGTTTGTGGGTTGTTCAAGCTTTAGAACCTAAAGAAGAACTCCAGGCAGAAATGTTATTAACCCTTGCAGTGGGGGAAAAAAGGTTATACTCACCTGAGTTTCCGAGCCAGCCGGCTCTTAGACTGGTCACTTGAGCTTCTCCCCCTCTGCTGGAGCAGTCTAGGAGTCCGCGAGTCATCATGCCCAATAGAGTGTACTGGATGTGAGGACACCAAGGGTCATACCATCCACGCAGAGGAGGAGGAGACAGGCTGGAGGGAGCACTGCCAGCTTGGAGGATTGGGTAAGTATAACTTAACTTTTTTCACCCTACGCAAAAATGAGCAGTTATCCCTTGCAGTGTGGGGGTAGCTCCACCTTGTTATAACAGGTGGAGCTATTTTTAAAAATGATAATGTTGCAGTTTATTGGGACATTTCAGAGACTTATTCATCAAGACTTGTATAGTTATTTAAAGGTTCACTTTAAAGTAGCGGATCCCTTTTAAAAGGGTATTATCATTTAGCATTATGATATTGAAGCATAGTCTTGAGTTCAACTGAAATTGGGGACAAGAAATCTATTCTCAGTTGGGCCTTTTGTTTGAATACTTTGAATGTGAGAGGGCCAGCTACTCAGAAAATATAGCAATGCAAGGTCATTGTACTTATCCAGTATATAGCTGTATCTCTTTAGTGCACTACTACTCAATACAAATGAGTAAATTAAACGTGACTTTGTAGCTCATCAGGGGGGCGAGTTTGGAGCTGTGGCTATTTTACAACACACACAGGGACCATGGGGAACAAAAATAGCCACCCTCCAGAAGGAAGGACAGTGTCAGCAGTGGCGTCACAAGGGTGGTGCCCGGGTGACACCATTGGAGGGGTGACACCAAAATGACTCACAGTCATTTTGGTGTCACCCCCCTCAGAAAAGTCGGGCGCTCAGCACGAATAAGATACATTTTTTGTTAAGAGGGTACGTGAATGCCTTTTAAGAGTTTAGTGCCACTGTACAACAAGAAATAAAATATTCAGATAAAGAAGACACTGTTTAGGCCAAAGCTGGTCATGCTTGTGGCAAGTTGTTAAAACATTTGTACTTTCTATGCCATTATTTGTATGGATAAACCGCAAGGAGATGAGGTCTAAATTGCCCTTATCAAGCGCAGTGTAGAATTGTGATTGTTTTTTTGCTATAGTCAATGTACTGCCCAGATACCAATTCACAATGGACTGAATTCTTGTAGTTGAACAAACTTGTGGGTAGTTGATTGCTCAGTTTCTGGTGATTGCTGGTGATTGCAGAGTATTTATGATTTCTCGTGGCTCAAAAGTGTTCGAAGATTGACATGTGTATGGCTAACTTTGGCTATCTTTTTTTACCTTTCCATTCTGTTTGCATTCACCCTGTTGCATATAATCCTATTTTAATTCACAGATATGAATGAGTGTTCCAGCATTCAGAATCCCTGCGGAGAAGGACACACATGTTTGAATGTTCCTGGATCTTACCGGTGTGATTGCCGCGCAGGATTCCACTTTGACACCTTAAGCAGGTCATGTGCTGGTGAGTGCACCAGAACGAACAGAACTGGTACCCCTTCACCATGTACAGCAAAGAGGGACATTCATGTTTTGCAGTCACATTCTCAAAGATCTCTAGCTGCAGTGTTTAAGTAACTCAAATACACTCTGACTGTATATGTAGGCTAAGCATATGTAGGCTGATCTAGGCTAAGCAGTATTTGTAGACAAAGCTAAAGCTCACCTATGTGGAGCATGCCAAAAAACTGTTTTTTAGAAATACATCTGGCAACCACACAGTGCGGTTTCAGTTAAAGCTGAACTCCAGGCAAACAACTAAATACATGTATGGGAGATGTTTTACCTGCCAAGTGACTTGTACTTCTATCCATATATTCATAATATTTACACAGCTTCTCTATGAAACACAGCCCTGTCTGGCAGGACAGAACACCTGAATGTTCTCCCTTTTGCAGTTAAGTAACACTTACAGGTCTTGTCCCACCTCTAACCTGTGATTGGGCAGTGTAAGAAAAAGCAGCAAACTGACAAGCTCATCTTTATGCCACTCTCCTATCAGTATGCTCCTACCTGTTCACTAAAGCACAACTGACAGGGTTATTCACAAAAGGGTGAAGGGTTTGGAGAAGACAGGAGAAGTGAACAATCTGGGCCAAAATAGCTGATTTGGAAAAATTCCCCAATTCACCTAACTTTCCAGTTCAGCTATGTTGTCCTAGATTGTTCACTTCTCCTGCCTTCTCCAAACTCTTCACCCTTTTGTGAATAACCCTGTAAGTGTTTCCTTGTGCTGCCTCTCTCTCCCAGGGTAAGATCTGCTGTACAGGGAATGCAAGAGGCTGGCATCTGGTTAAATTCAGATACTTGCCTTGTTTGGATAAAACAAAAATAAATTATTAATCAGCTGTGATATCAATTGTGGGTAACTGTGGACATAGGGTTCTATATATGGAGGTTTTTCTGTTATATGATTATTTTTTTTCTCTATTGGTTGAACTTGATGGACGTGTGTCTTTTTTTCAACCTGACTAACTATGTGTATTTTATATCTACCTGGAGTTCATTTTTAAAGTGGAAATAGGGTACCAGTGATTTTCTGCCCACACTTTCCTAAAGCAACATAACACTAAGTGGTTACGTTGAGATCACATGTCAATAAGTGACAAATTCAGTATCTGGGTGGGATAGGTGCATAACACACTCAGGAATGCGCTGTGTGCCAAAACTTTGGGAGCCAAAATTTCTCTGGTCTAAAAACAACCTACCCAATGTTCAGAAGTCAAAAGCTATTGGTGCACTGCATAGAATGAAGGTGCTGCCAATCTTCATAGCACTGTACTGCAGACTTTATTTAGGTTAATGGCTTGGATGTCATTCCGCCCTGGAATTGACTGAGCTGAAGGTTTCAAATAGCTGAAGAAACCTCCCTCTATGATTAGGTGGAAAGATTACACTATATGACTCAATTTGTGTGGACCCCTGACCATCACACCTATACAGTATGAGCTTGCTTGATATCCAATTCCAAAACTATGGCCATAAATATAAAGTTGGCTTCCATATGCAGCTATAACAAGATTTTGGAGGGTGTCTGTGGGAATTTGTGCCCATTCAGCCAAAACAGCATTTGTGAGATCAGGTACTGATGTTGGATGAGGAGACATGGCTCACAATAAACATTCAAAATTGTTCCAAAGGTGTTTAGTAGAAGGTCATTGCTCTGTGCAGGCCACTTGAGTTCCTCCATAGCAAACTCAAATAAAACCATGTCTTTTTATAGCTGAGATTCTTCACCTGAACTCTTCATTTTCAGGTGAAAGAGGAGTATCCACATACTTTTTGCCATACAGTTAGACACCATGGAAATGGTGCCTTATCATATTTAATAGCTCTCCATGCAGTGCCCCTGATGGAGACTGAACTAAGCCTTGGCAGGCAAGTCCTAACCACCAAGTCACCATGCTGCTCACATTTGTAGGGTTGCTGCACATGATCTGCTGTTACTATCCTGTTCATTGCACTACTTTAATCTCTCCAGATATCAATGAGTGCCGTGGCTACTCCGGGCGTATCTGTGCCCACAAGTGTGAAAACACAGCTGGCTCTTTCTACTGCAGCTGCACCACCGGATTCCGGCTGGCTAGCGATGGCAGAAACTGTGAAGGTAAAACAATTGGATATTAAAAGACTTATGAGATTCATAACCCTTGAGGGAGCAAAACCGATAATGTTCACCCTGCCATAAGGATATCAGAAGTCAATGAGACATTCTGGGACATTACCAGAACACGAAGTTAGGTGCCTCCAGAAACCTTGATTGTTTACAATTGCAGCCAATCATTATCATAGAGGTAGATGCCAACAGGGCAGCCTTCAGAAATTTCGGGGCCCCTTACACGGCCTTAGGCCGGGCCCCCCCCCCCGCACCGCCATTTCCGTTTCATGTTCGTATCGTTCGTTTCATTTCAGCAAAATGACATGAAAAAATTTTTTTTTTTAATTGTCACTTTGCTGCAATTAAAATTTGTCCACAAAAATGCATACAGACGACCGCTAACGAATTTTGTCCAGAACACGATTTTTTCCGAAACGAATCGCACATGTCTACTGGACCCAGGGCTTAGGGTTAGTTCACACCATAAGCAGTGCATTCCAGTCTGACTCTGGCCAGAACGCACTGCCCACATTGCGGCCGGCTCACTTTTTTGCTGGGCTGGAGGGGACGTGGCGGTCCATTGATGTGAATGGCGCCGTAACCCAGCCCTCCGGCTGCAATGCGATCGCCCGCACAGGATCGCAAGGCATATTGTACCTGCAGTGCGTTCAAAATTGCAGCATTTTGACCACACCGGACCGCAGGCACAATTTGCCCTACGATCCCGTGCGAGCGATCGCATTGCAGCCGGAGGGTGTGGCTACGGCGCCATTCACTTCAATTGACCACCACGTCCCCTCCAGCCTGGCAAAAAAGTGAGTCGGCCACAATGCGATGCAAGTGGTGTGAACAGGCCCTAAAACGGTACCAAGAACACGGCTGCAGGTGCAGCCATATTCTTGGTATAACCATTTCCAGTGGAGGGCGTACAATTACGCCATCCCATGGGAAGTGGTTAAAAAAAACACACAGGCGCAATGATACAAACAAACATATCACACACTCATTTAAAAAAAAACCACACACAGCTTCATTTAAAAAAAAAAAAAAAAACACACTCTCACACCTATTAAAAGTAAAAATAGTTAATCAAAAAATGTCCCCCTCTCCTTCTTACCTTAGTTGCAGGAAGGGGGGCTGCATCCCCTGGGTCCAGTGTGGCACTTGGGGATTATCCTGGTCTGGTGGTCGAGTGAAGGATCAGTGTGCTCTGCACTCTGGCTGGTGCACTGGTGCAGACCATACTGATCGATCCCTACTAAATCAGCGGCGGCACCACGAGGGAGCGATCAGTATGAGCTGCATCAGCAAGAGATGCAGCTCATACTGATTTCCCTCTGGACCACCAGGGATCTATTTCCATTTAATATATTGCCAGTTCGGCAATATATTAAATGTAATGTGGGCACTTGCCAGGTTTAAAGATGGCCGCCGCTGCTCGCGGCAGCCATGTTTAAAAACCTAATGTGCAGAGGAAACCCCCTGGGGACAACGGAGGACCGTACAGAGCACCTCAGGTGAGGATAGGAAGAGTACGGGCCCCGGCTTCCTCCGGTGCTGCGGGGGCCCGGTTGCCTCCACCTCCCGCTGGGCACCTGTATGGCCATCCGCCGATACACATGTAAGGTGCTCGGGCCCCTAAGGCTGCCCGGGCCCCTTACATGGCTATCGGCGGTACCCCCCTGACGGCGGCCCTGGATGCTAATACTTGTTAGAAAATCTTCCTGTGAGAAGGCCGGATCCTTTACATATCTGTGTAGAGGAAGGAAAATACCACCAGGGTACCGCTGTCAGAATCGGTACAGAACTCTGACTTGTCCCAGTGAACCAATGGTTTCCAGGTATCTCCATGGCTGTTGTGAACAGCCTACAGTCGCACTAACAGAGAGTCTGTTCTAATAAGAAATACAGAGAATTTTGTATTTTTTTATTTATATAACAAAAAGGCCATGAATACAATACTGACATTTTTAAATTACATTGTAGCTTCCTCAACTGTGACAATGAAAAATATTACACTCAGTATTGTAAATCTGTTATATGTCAATGTCATTCACCAATCTAAAGAACTTGATAATCAATGCTGTATCTATTTTAGTTGTTGTCAGCCAGTCACAAAACTGTATCATGGACAAGGTTGTTATGAGACAACCTGTGTATTTCTCAAGGGACTACTTAGCTTGAAACAAGGGGATGGATTGTGCAATATATGCAGTGTATGTATGGAGAAAAAGATGTCGATAACTAATTGTAATTGTTCATTGTGCTTTAGATGTGGATGAATGCCACAGCAACCCTTGCAGTCAGGAATGTGCCAACGTTTATGGTTCGTACCAGTGTTACTGCCGCCGGGGCTACCAATTGAGTGATGTGGATGGGGTCACCTGTGAAGGTAAGATACTGTGTGTTTGCCTGAAGCTTTGGGGTTTATTTATAAAAATTCCTATACTTATCACTGCCATCTAGGGGCACTAGTGCCATGCCAACAGCATTCACCCGGCTATACACTGAGCAGAACTTTAATAAATTAACCCATTTGTGTCTTTTCAGAGCCTTTATTGGTCAGGCTGGTTCATAAGGGTAGATGCTGTCAATACAGCTGGCACCTCTACAAAAGTTACTGAGCTGAGGGCTATACAGTAGACATGTGTGATTCATTTCGGAAAAATTTGTTTTTTGGACAAATTTTCGTTATTCGGAGATTCGGATGTGTCTGAATTTCCGAATAACAGAAATGAGGAATGAAAACGAATCAGAATTTCCAAAAATGAAATTTCGGATGAAATTCGTTAGCGGTAGTCTGTACGGATTTTTCGAACAAATTTTTTGCCAGTGCACATGTCTACTATACAGTCAATAAAGTGTATCTAAAGCCACTTTTTCTTTTGGATAGAGG